CTACGCTACGCATGTTAAGATTTTTGACCGAGACTATACAAAATTTTAACACTAGCATATATGGGCGCGCTCTGCTGCACCGGCATCATGCCTGTGTGTTTTCTATTATGCTGTATCAGAGGTATATGAAGGTCGAAAAGTGGTAGGGTCTCATAGGCATTGTCACCTTCTGATGTTGTCTTTATTTCGGTATATCACTACTATAGATTGACCTATCACCAACATCACTATCACCACCAATATCATTAAAACCGTTAGTGATAGTTATCACCAATGGTTCGAACCATTGATGATGAGAGTATCACCGCCGGTTCATAAGAATGTCCGGGTGGATAACTATCACCGCCGCTTCGTTTTACCAACCAGTAGTGATAATCCATCAAAACAGCCGGTTTGCACCACCAACCAACGGTGATGATGTGCTCCTCATCATTGCCGCCTCGCCATATGAACCAATGGTGAAGATGTTTTCACCATCAGCTTGTTGTATGCTACGGTGGTGATAACCATGCTACAGCATAATAAAATTCATAATGTTTTCAAATAAAGTTAGATGGAAACAAAATTTATATCAAAGTTGTAGATCTCGACGAGATCGACAACTTTGTAGTTGATGACTTTTTCATTTGAACATATTTACGGTCCCAAAATTCTATTTGAAGTGCTCAAATTTTAAAATTCATTTTTTTTGAATTGTACAAACGACCTTAGATAGACAAATGACCAAAACCAACTTTGTAGTTGACAACTTTTTTAGAACAACAACTTTGTAGTTGATGAGTTTTTCATTTGAAATCATTTGAGGTTCCAAAAGTCTGCCTGAAGTTTTGACGTTTTAAAATTCAAAATTTTCAAACGACCTCGGATGGCGAAACAAACAAAATCAAAGTTATAGATCTCGATTAGAATAATAAATTTATAGTTTATAACTTTTTCATTTGAAGCCGTTTAGGGTCCTAAATATTCGTTTTAAATCCTGAAAAGTAAATACTAGGGAAATGGATATACTATATAGACACAAGTGATGTAGGGATGAAGTGGTTAGAGGAGATACGTGTTGAGACAAAGGTCTTATGTTCGAATCCCAGCACCCACGATGTGCGACTGTGGAGCTAGAGCTAGTGGGAGGGGGGCTTCTTGGGATTGAAACAAAATATTTTGCTTTTTTTGCCCGTTTTTGAAATTTTTGAAAATTCAAATCACCGCCGGTTGGTAATACGAACCAACTGTGATAAGTATTATCACCGCCGGTGGCAAAATCGACTGTGATGAGAATGTCATCACCACCGACCACTTACTGCTGAGACCGAAAAACATCTGTGATGGGCTTTACGAACCGCTTGCGATAGGTCTAAATGTAGTAGTGTATGCCTATACAGTGCATGGCTTGGAAGAATGCAATATACAGGACCAGTTGTTGCATGTGTAATGCGCTAATGAGTTTCGGTACATGCCAACTGTTGCATTGTATCAGTTAGTCTTAGCATGACGCGCAACGTTTTATTATTTACACAAATATAGCACCTGCACAACAACATAAGCATCGCCCTTCATTGAAAACCGTAGTTGTGTAATTTCAAAAGGAGGGCACGAACACAGTGCGAGTCTTTTCTTAGCATGGCGTGCATGGACAGTGGAGGAGCACCCCAGTTCGTTGGTGTACCTGTAACCGGCATCAACATCCGGATGAATCTGGAGAAATTTGTGAGAGAAAAGTAGCGATGAACAGTAACTTTCAGCCATGAACAGTGAAATTCCGGCTGGTTTTTGCACTAGCCGAACGGGGCCACAGCAAGAAAACAATAATAAATGTAATCATCTATTTATATGTGATCTTGAATAGAAGTGGCAAGATCCAGCCTCCGCTTTGGCTTTCGGCTATGGTGGCATGGACGTTACAGTAGAAAATGCAAGCACAAGTGATACTATTACTAAGACTGTGTAGGTAGTCTTTGTTAGATTAGTCTTTCAAGGATCATGTTAGTCTTGGTAAGCCTAGGTTTACTAAGACTGCTGTAATTTCTCTTCCTCTTAATGAAAAAGGTGCCTCGGTATGGTCGTGAAAAAAGTGATATTATTAAACAGGCATATTCTTCCTGGTAGTGATATCATTAAACGGGCATGGTATGTCTATATTAAGTGTAGGGATGAACGCAGCAAAACCATCATCACTATCATCAATAAGAGCATGAACTGGGCAACCTTTGACTTACCTCTGTGTTTGGCGTAAAGAAGACCAGATTTACTGCCAAGACAGCACGATAAGGTTGTTCACTGGTCAATAACAAATACAGGGACACAATATAACACCTGTGTATGAGAGAATTTGGTGTTAGAAAAATTTGCCATATTTCACAGACATCTTATTGTACAGAAACTATGACAGTGTGTGTTTTGATAGCCATATTAATATTTTCAAAGAGAAACAAATAAGTGTAGGGATGAATGCTTCAAAACCATAATCACTATCATCAATGAGAGCATAACTGGTCAATAACAATTAACAAATACAGGGACACAATATATGTGTTAGAAAAGTTTGCCATATTTTTGCAGATATCTTATTGTACACAAACTATAACAGTGTGTGTTCTAATGGCCATATTAATATTTTCAAAAGAAATGAATGTAATTATATACATAAAAAAGAGTGAACCATCGCACGTTAGGGCAGCACTTGTTCTAGGACATTTAGGACTACTAACATTTGTAGCCATGACCATGGGTGTAGCTCTTTTATTGCACACAGGGATGGTGCATGCAAGGTACCACCATGGCACCGTGATTGATTTGGAACCACACATTTAATCTTTGCATTGACTATGTATCTGTTGGACTGCATAAGAACAGGAAATGGACTCTAGAAGGCTTTTGCTTAGATAGAAAAGTAAATGTTTCGTGTACATGAAGGACACGTACATAGATAACATGTGGATTGTGAACTTTTGGCAAGTTCATTAACTGCAATTCTTGTTGGCACCAGGTAGCCTCAGAAACTGTCTAGATCATAGTTGTGATCATGGAGTTTTTAAAAATTAGCATTAAGTGACTATAGTAAAATATAAATTAGTACGTACATATTCCTTAATACAACAGCCTCATGAAGTGTATGATCTGTAAACCTTGGATTATTTAGAAACGAAGCTAATGAGTTTGGCAAGCAATATGAGGTCATGTAGATTATACAGTGAAATAAATAGATCCAGGGTAGCATTGGCATCAGTATAACTGAGTACCTTGAAACAACCGAGATGTTGTGGCAACAAAGAGGAAGTCTACAGGATCCTTGGTTGCCATATCCATGTACCACCCTGTCTGAAAAGGCCTCTGCTTGATCATCCCATAAAGCAACAGCTACATCTTGTCTGTATTTATAGAATGAAAATGAATGCATAAGCGTAATAAGCAAGTAAAATGATGGATAACCGGTGCATTGAAAGCTAGCATATGCCACATGCTCTCCGTCAATAATAGTGTATACACTATGAAGTGGTTTTACACACTTTATTCGGCATGCTGACATGAGGCATCTCTTGAGCACTCAATCAGTATCTGGCTAGTGGAATCAGAGGCACAACTCAGGAGCAGCAGATGAAGATACTTAGCAGTTAGCACATCGTCATACACACACGTATGGTCTTGCTCTTGGAGCAAGACAAATTGAGGTTCATCTAGCAACTATATGAATAACAAAATTTCATAGAAGAGCTATGTGCTATGAGACACATGTTCAAGCTATGTGCTATGAGACACATGTTCAGTTATTAAGGAATGGCACAATGAGGACTGTGCTATGCAGGCTACTAATTATGTAAGTGCACAACTACTAAATTTATATAGGACATACCTAGTATGTCATATGACAGTGGACAGTCACCGGGAAGCATCTTTGAGCTGTGCACGAAATCCCCCTGGCTTGCACCTTCCTCCTATACGCGCAAGATCAGGCAGCACTGAAGAAATCTGCAACAAAAAAAAGGCAAATCAAAACAATGAGGAAAAATAGAATCCATAAGAAAAGGTATGGCTGAAACAATCCAAAATAGGACGCAAGCACCTCGCCATGACATCCGCAGTCACCCAGAAGCGGACACGCATGGCGGGTTGCCTCGACGGCCAGCTGCGTGGGCAACACCGGTGAGCAGCAACGCGTATGGCCCAGCCGTGGATGGCGATGTGGCCTGCCTCGACGGCCAGCTGCGTGGGCAACACCGGTGAGCAGCAACGCGTATGGCCCAGCCGTGGATGGCGATGTGGCCTGCCCCGGCGTAGAAGCCAGCACGCGTGGCGGGTTGCCTACGATAAGCAAAGCCAAATTTGCTAGGAACTGAATTATTCTATCCTTGTGGAAGGTCGTCAAAGCTAGGCATCTTTGCTAGGAGTAGTATCTCCTGTTGGTGAAGCAAAGCCAAATTTCTACTCCTCTTTACCACTACTACCAATTTTTACCATATATAAGACAAGCCTGCACCACACAAGCAGGTAGGAAGGGAGGCTCTCGCTCTCACCCGTGTCTGCTTATCCCTGGAGCAGACCTGAGTAAGGCCAGCCAAGCAAATTGTCTATCTACTTCTACTGAAGGAAAAAAAAAAGGTAACTTGAAATTTTCAGTCTTGGCATTGCATAATCGCATTCCCTCGTTTCTTCCTTTCGATTCCATGAGCTGCTGTTTTTATACGACGATTGTAGGAACAACATCTCTCTCGAAAGCAAATGTTTTAACCATGAAACTGTTCCATCGATCTATCAGCAAACAGGAACCCTTCTGCTGTTCTATTGGTGTAGAAATTCTGAAATTCATTCAAAACAATATATGTATTCGAAAAAAAAAGAGATTCTAAAGAATACTGTTCTGTTGCCACTCAGAAATCTAGTAGCACAAGTTTTCAAAAAGAAATCTAGTAGCACTACGTTTCCTTCCATGCGTCTCGTTTACTCTGACTGACGCAAGCAGTCTTCGTTCTCGCTTGTTGCAACTGCAGCATCACCAGTTACATACCATGGATTCCAAGCACGACGCGCCAATCTGGGCGGACCAGTGGGCCTCTGGTGAAGACAGCGGGAGCAGGAGCACCAACGCCAAGGCGGATAAGAAGACGGTCGCCGGCAACGTGAAGGCGGCGGCGTCGGAGGGGTTCGTCAAGGCCAAGGCGGCGGCGCTGGTCGGAGCGCACAAGGTGAAGACCGGGACGAGCACCGGCATCAAGTGGGTCAAGGAGCAGTACCAGAAGAAGAGGACATCCAAGTGAGCTGAGTTGTGATGTAGGAGTACTACTTTCTGTTCTGATCTTAGTGAAGCTCATTAGAGCAACAGATTTTCTCTTGGTCGTTTGGTTCCTTTGGATGAGCTTGTAAGCCAATGGCCTTTCTTATTATTATTATCCTAGACTAGATGATTTTGCAGAGTTCTATGCTCTCTCAACGCTTAGACATTACCGACATTAAAAGCAACTTCAGTGGAGCCCCTAAACAAGCCCCTATTCTAATTTTAGGGGCTTGAGCAAAAAAAAAAAAAAACCACTCCAATGGGGCTCCTACTTAGACTTCCATTTTAGGAGAACTCTCAAAATTTAGTTTCAGTTCCTCAGAACCAGGGGCTCCTATTCCCCCGCCCCCCCCCGCCATCCTTGCCCATCCCTCCTCCACCGCCGCTTCTCTTCTTCAAGACGCTGGCAGATCCTTCTCCTCTCCACACGAGCACCGCTGAAGCTCCTCCCCAGCGACTCCTCCTGCTCCTCCCGTGCGTCCGGCGAGACCCAGAGATCCGGCGAGCTCCCGCCGAGCTCGCGGATCCGGTGAATCCTGGTCCGTGAGCCTCCTCTTCTCTTCTCCCGCCGGTTCTGCTCCTATGGACGGCAAAAGCAGCTCGGAGAGATTCTCCTGGAGGCGGGCCTCCCCCGTCTGTCGGTGTCTACCACGCGACGTCGTGTTCGTTCGTCGCGCGCGCATTCCCGCCCTCCCACGTCGTCTTCTCTCGACGCCAACCTGCCTGGTCGCCAAGAACATCCTTCTCCCCGACGGCGGCGGCGGTGGGCGGATGCCTTCTCCCGGCGGCGGCAATGCGCAAGCAGCACAGGCAAGCAGGATGCCTTCTCCCGGCGGCGGCGGCAGTGGTGGCCGGATGCCTTCTCCCAGCTGCGGCGGCGTTGGCGCCGGCATCGGCTTCTCTCGTCGGCTCCCCAACGACCCACCTCCACTCGGCCCTCGCGTTGAACTTCACAGAGCCTCACGCCGCCACAGACGCTGCGCAGAATGACAACATCACCAAAGAGAGTGTACGAGGTCGCCAAGCGACGACTTTTAGCCCCAACCATTGGACGCCTGACTACTCAAAGAGTTTAGCCCCAAAGATTATGTTCTATATGCTCCAAAGATTAGTGTCTCAATGTGAATGCTATCTAACGCCAATGGGTCGGAATGCCATTTGAGTTCTGATGCTAATATTTTGTGTGAATGTGAAACTGAATTTTTGGTGCATGCACAACCGATGGACATGTGACCTCAATGTCTCGCAATGACAGCTCCGAGTTGGGATAGATTTGGTGTTAGTTGGGGAGGGATTTTCTAGCTGAGCATCATTTGGTTGTTGGCATGCTCAATTCTTGTCATGAGCAGTTGTCATGCTGTGAATTTTTTTATCAATCATGAATACTAGCAGTCGTAGTAGATGGCATTCAGTTAGATTGTTGACTATCTATTTGCCATCAGACTCATTTTCAGCTTCACTAAAATTGACTGCTCTTATTCTTTGCAAAGAACCATGGGCTTCAAGTTCACAATATTTCACAAACATAATGACATAGAAAAAGGATGATGATTTGGAATTGGTGAATCAGCAGGCTACCACTCCAAGTACCGGCGGGAAAGGAGCATCCAAGCGAGGCAGTAACTACACTAGTCTTGAAGATATCCAACTTTGCAAATCCTGGATTCATATCAGCAATGACCCTATCATAGGGAATGATCAGGCAGGAAAAACTTATTGGGAGAGGATTGCTAATGATTTCCACAGGAACAGGGACTTTGAGTCCGATAGGACTCCAAATTCACTCGAGCATCGCTTTGGAATCATACTAAAGGAGTGCATGAAATTCCAAGGCTACTACGAGGAGGTCGAGCGTCGTCATCCAAGTGGCGTCCCATATAAAGAACATGTATGTCATCTTGCACTTGGTTCATCCCATATGTTGTCGCTGCTATATATCTAATCACACACTTGATCTTTGCTGCAGTTGCTGGAAGCCCATGAAAGGTATGCTAGAAAAGCAAAGGGCAAAAAATGTCAATTCGAAGAATGCTGGCTCATGTTGAGGCATACTCAGAAGTTTGAATCAACACTTGAAGTCGGCAAGAGGCCGGCCAAGTCTAGAGAGCTCAACCTCTCCATAGGAACTCAACAAGACTATGACTCAACTGCCCAAGGCCAAGAGAGCTCTTCAATTCCTTCTACCAAGACAACCCGACCTTCGGGTAGAAAGCAATCCAAAGAGAAGCTGAAAAAAATGAAGGAGAGGACGAGTACAAGGATATGATGCAAACCTTAGTGGTACTCAAGACCAAGGAATATAAGATGAAGAAAGAAAAGTGGGACAAGGATATGATGCTTGAGCAGCGCAGGATTGAGGTGGAAGAGCAGCGTCTGCAGTGGGAGCAAGAACAGAAAGTTATGTTTTATGATGTCACCACCATGGATGATGATCAAAGGGCATATGTGAAGGCAAAGAGAGCTCGGATTGTGAAGGAGATGAGCGGTAGTGTAAGCGAGACGGCTAGTGGTGAGAGTGGAGTGTAGGTTTCGTGAGAGTGGAGTGGTTATTTCTTAAGTTTATGTCTCAAGAAAATTAGCATCTTATTGCTCTCTGTTGTTATTGCTCTCTGTTCAAAAGCTTGGTGTGTTCTTCAGTTCAATGAGGGTACTATGTGTAATATGAATTATGTAGTCTGCAAACTATGGCTGTGCCTTGGTCATTTGTGAAAGACCTTTTCCTTCAGTTTGAATTATGTGCCTTGCTCTCTGTCTTTGCTTGATAATCAGTGTACTGAATCTGAATGTGCTACATAATATATTACATTTTATTCCCAACAGTTCAGAGAAAGCTTGCCTAGCTCTAGGACTATTATACATTTTTACTTTCATTCACAAAAGTTCAAAAGCATGTCACTTCCATTCAGTGTTGCTTCACTGCTACTAAAAACTGAATCAAAGTGTTACAGTATAAGTGGTAGAAAAAGTGCTTCACTGGTTGTTTATGCCACTGCACAACACATGACTTTTGTAGCAGCTGATGTCCTGCAGCAGTTGATGTCCTTCATTGAGACTGTACCCAAGAATCCAGAACATATAAGCAATTTGCTAACCACAGCAGGAAGCCTCAATCGTAAATCAAAAGCATCAAAATCCCTGGTGTAATTAAACATTATGAATAGTTCAAATATGCAGAATAATAGCAGTAGTTAAATAATTACAACTGGAAAGCTCTTGCAAGTGAATAAGTTTACTGAGATGCCAAACAAGCCCTATCCAATTTCTGCAACACAACTCTCATTCAGATGGCCATGCAAACCAAGAATATAGGAAAAAGACACATACAGTCCTAACTATCTAGAACTATTAGTTCTAACTATCTAGAACTATGAATTGCCCACAAGTGCTCTACAAGGTCATCCCGAAGTTGCTCATGTGAATACCTATCCTCAATCTCGTCGTGTATCTTCAAGAAGTCCTTAAGCACAAGCGGATTACAACGTTGGTAGTCCATAGGTTGCAACACAGGGACACCCTCCTGATGGTAGTTAAAATCATCTTCCTCATCTCGCTCATCCTCAATGATCATGTTGTGCAAGACTACACAAGCTTGCATTATATACCATAGATCTTCCTTGTCCCACATTCTTGCAGGACCCCGCACAATTGCAAAGCGAGCTTGGAGTACCCCAAACGCTCTTTCCACATCTTTCCTCGCTGCTTCTTATGCCATTGTGAAGTGGATCTTCTTGTTGCCCTGTGGATGTTGAAAAGCTTTGACAAACGTTGCCCAGGCTGGGTATATCCCATCAGCAAGATAGTATCCCATTGTGTACTTGTTTCCATTGACCATGTATTCCACTTGTGGCGCCGTCCTAGAAGTCAGACTCTGAAATAGTGGAGAGCGTCGCAAAACGTTGATATCATTTAGAGAACCAGGAAGGCCAAAGAATGCATGCCATATCCATAAATCTTGTGATGCAACGACCTCAAGGATCATGGTCGGCCCATCTTCCTTCCCTTCAGATGCTCCTCTCCAACCTACTAGGCACTTGTCATGCTCAATTTGCTTGTCAGTAAATGTTGCATGTCATGATGAATTTTTTACACCATGGTGACTAGCAATGCAGTAGATGGCATTTCCAATGCATGCAATCAATGAAACCAAGCATACCTAGGAACCCTCTTGCACTATTAATTGCCAACAACTGGTGGTCAGTCCTCGGGCATTGAGGGCCCTCAAGTATTCTTCACCAAAGACATCGACGATAGCCTTCACAAAATGTTTCAGACACTCAATGATTGTGCTCTCTCCCATCCTCACATACTCATCCAAGAAGTCTCACGCTTTGAAATACCGTATGCAAGCATCCGAACGGCGGCAACAACAACTTTCAGTATGGGAGAGGCGCCAAGAGTTCCGATGGCATCGGGCTTCGACGAAATAGTCATCATGAGACTCCACTTGCATCCACTATCCGCAGAAGAGAGACCTGACATCCAAAACCTCCTTCTGAAATGTTTCTCGATTATATACACATCGTCCGCAAGTAGTCCAAATAGATGCGATTGTGACCTTGAAATGTTCCATGGCACTTTGCGGCGACCCGGCAGAATCCACGAAACTTTTTTTGCACACTGTTTCTCCTCGAGCCCTCAAGAAGACCAGCAATGATGAAGAGGTCGTCATCATCAGATTCATCCTCTTCATCCCACCCTCGATGAGCTCTAGTTCCAAACCTTGACATCTGCCTTAGCAACAAAATGTTTAGGTTCTTGTAGTGTATTAATGACTCATCGATTCATGACTCAATGATATAATTGGCATACACACCTTTGCATATTGTATGCTTCAACATCGTGACATCAACTAGAAAGTGCTTCAACACAAGCGCATAATGCATACACAATCTCAGAGATGTGTTCTAGCACAAACTAGTATGCTTCAACACTTGTAATGCTTACATAAATGCAACTTAATCTCCACCGCCTCTCTCTAAAACAATTGAGTATAGTAATCAACTAATTCATGCATCCCCACCGTCTAAAACAATACTACAGGTACATTAATTGAACTAATTTGAGGAGAAATTAAACTGAATATTGCATGATCGAGAATCAATATGCATTGAGAACTGAATAAGCAATAAGCGAGAGCTAGTAGCGCAGACACTACAGCATTACCATCTCTATACCAATACATCTCGGAATCAAAGTCCATGCTTGCTAGGTGCACCTTGGAATTGGACTATGCATTGTCACCGAATCTTGATTTGCATCAAAGGAAGGGCTTGATTACCAAGATGCAAACTCGAAGGACCCAGCCGATGGCGACCACCACCGCAAATCGAAGAGGAGGACGAGGCGGCGGCATCGGACGCACGCGAGAGTGGCAGCGCACCGCTTCTCCCAAGGCGTGGCCATGGAGAAGCTTCTCGCTTCTTGATCCTCTTGCTCGTCGGAGTTGGCTTCTCCTTCTCCTCCCCGATGGTCCGCTTGGGTTCTCCTCCCAATCGAGGTCACTCCTCCCACTGGGCAGGTGATCGCAAAGGGCGCGGGCACCTTGGCGCGGCAGGGCGCCAGATGTCCAACTTGTTTGGCGGGGCGCACCACCGCAAGAAGGGGGCGCCGTGATGGCAGAGGCGCGCTGGAGGTGTCTGGCTGCTTGATCCAGAGTGCGCCGGTGCTAGGAGCAGGCGAGCGGCATGGCGCCAAGCGTGGAGGAGTGCTTGTGGCATGCTGGGGCAGTGGAGCCAAGTGATCTTGGCGCCGGTCTTGGCGTTCTTGGTAGGGTAGCAATAGGGTCTTGGGCTAGAGTTGGAAGCAAATTTGGGTCCCTATTTTTTGCAGGCCAGCATGCAAATGAAAAAATAGGGGCTCAATTTGCATGCTGGGCTGGAGTTGCTCTAAGAAAGTTCAAGTTACCCCCTAAATATTGTCAATGTCTGATAATTCTTTAAGTTAATGTTTGGTTTGGTTATTACTCCCTCCAACTATTTTAATCAATCATCAAATTTACCTCATTACCAAGATTTGTTTTTCTTTGTTTCTCCACTACAAATTGAGTTTTAATTTCAAAATTTGTGAGGCGATAGAGAATCTCATCTTTTATGCTAAAAAATTATTATGACTTTTTTATCATTTGTGTATCGTACAATTTTTTTCTCTAGTTTTATTTTATCATATACTAGCAAATGTGCTCGTGCGTTGCAACAGGAGAAGAAACTTATTTTTTATAAATCCATTATTATGTAAACCACTTTAGTCAAAATTCAATAATAAATTATTAAATTGATTTTATATAAAAAGGGCTATAATTCCTAATAAAGATTCATCGTGACCCTTGACACAAAAATTTTATAGGCTAGAATTAACCAAAATTGAAGCATTATTATAATAATGATAGTTAATGCATTGTTAGGCAACGACCACTTAAAGAAATTATGTATTACAGTAGTATTTTGTTTTTTTGTCTTCATCTCTCTGGGTCCCATACCTTAGTTTGAAGCATACTTCATCTCACACATTCTTCTCGTACACACGTCTAGCCCAAGTTGTTCTCTCCTCTCTCTCTCGCTCGATCGCCTCCTTCTCTCTCCTTTCATGAGATCTCTGCATAGTAAACTAATTCTTTTGAAAGGTTTATTGTTGGCAGAAACCTATGTGGTACTAACTATTGATTTTTGGGAAAACCTGATGAGTTCTCTATGACCCACCGAACATTGGTTTCATTTGGCAGAAGCGGAGGGGCTAGATTGCAAAGTGTGCATGCACATGCTGCGGACTTGGTCCATGTGTCGTGGACCGACGATGTGATGTGTGTGCGGTTCACCGTGGACCAAGTCCATGATGAAGGAGTATTGAGACGATTAAATTTCTGGTGATGGACGGCTAATGTATTCGGATGGTATATCTGGACCTATTTTTCTAAAGAAAAACGGACGTATATTGCATAGGCATGACGTCACGGTGATGTCATCAAGCTAACAACGAATCGACGGTCACCGTGGCTCAGTCGACGCTCGGCCCGTGCGGCATGTTGTGCTTGCGTGCGGGAGTAGCGAAGGAGCGCTTGTGTCCGTCTCAGCAGAGCCCGAGACAGCTTGGCCAGCAGCTGACGGCGAGGCCGTGTGCAACGGCGTGTAGGATTTTGGAGGAAAGCGCCAAATCAAAGCCAAGGAAGGGTCGCAGGGGAGGGTGGAAGCTCACCGTATGCTCAGGAGGGTCGGGGGAGCAGCGGAGGACCGGAGGTGCCGTTCCACGGCAGTGGCGGCGGCGGACGGAGGTGTGTGGATTGCACTGACGGCGAGACCGTACGGAGGAAATTGGGGCAGCAACGGGACGACGGCGCTTATGTTGTTGTGCTACGTGCGGACGACGGCGGAATAGAAAGAAAGCAAGTCTCGGGCTCAACGGGAGTCCGAGCAGAATTAGGCCCAACACGAGTCCGAACAAATCTAGGCCCATGATTAGGTTAGACGAAAATCTGCCTCTTTAATATTAGGTATAGATATAGATTAATTCCCTAACCTATAAAAATAATGATGGAAAATTTATGATGTCAGCTACCAACTTATAAGATTTGATTTAAACATAGTTTTACGGAGAGAAAAAAAGAAATCTTATCAAAGGTTAAATTGGATCATAATTGGAATAGTTGCCAAATGTTAATTTACTCCCTAACCAAGGGACCAGAATTGTTCGCACCAAGCCATGGATATCCTCAAAAGGGTATGGAAGCACAAATGCCTCCCTCCATGCATCAAGACTTTCTGTTGGAGACTGAACAGAAGAGCACTAGCTACCGATCAGAAGAAGAAGAAGAAGAAGAAGAAGAAGAGCACTAGCTACTAGTGAGAGAGCTGGTAGTCTTTCAACAAAAATAAGTAAGCTATGCATGATCTGCAACTTGACTGAAAATGATGCCCATTTGTTCTTCCACTGCACCTTTGCTAGAGCGGTTTGGTTCTCTGCAAATCCTCCTTTGTGTACTTTTATGTTGCCTCGTGAACAGGATGGTGTACAGGAAATCTTCTCAACAATCATCAATCAAAACACTACTGATGAACAGGTGCACAGAATACTAACTACTATGTGCTACTTATGGAAGGCCAGGAATGACCTCCGCTTCCGTAGAAAAACTTAGACTGTATGGCAAGTACACAATGCGGTGGCAGCCGACATCAACATATCCACTCATGAAGCTGGAGGACGAACAGATGCAAGCAGCTAGCTGCGCAACAAAACGGCCCCTCAAATTTCTCAGGAAATCAACCTGAGTTAAGAGGAGGCTATGCCACTCCTAACCAATCTCAGAGGGCAGGCAAACAGGCATGAACGTGAGAGGAGCAGGCATATGCAGACAGCCCATGCATGCGGCATGCAGGCACCACATGGCCCAGGCACACGACCATCACCAGCAGCTGAGACATGCAAGCCAAGGTAATGTTTTTTCTATGGCAGGATTCCTGGAACGAAGGAGGGAGCGCAATCAAGCTCAACACAGCTCTGCTACTTATCAAACAAAAAAAACACAGCTCTGCTTTCGCATTGGCCCTACCAGGACCGCCTCTTTACAGAGCTTTACCACCGGTGCTCCTCCCTGGCACAAGGTGCTACACGGATGCGTCGACGACTCCAGACATGCAAGCACAGGCCCCAAGGCGAGCCGGATTAGGAGTGTCCATCATCAACAATCAATCAAGCACTACGTCGGCCATCTACATCAAAGTCATGCTCAGAGATTTGAGCTCCGTGCTAATGGCTGAAGCTGCAGCCTTGGCACTTGGTGCTCAGGTACTCTGTGCACTTGGAGTTCAGCAACCGTTCTTTCTGTCGGACAATCAACAGATCGTAAACTTCTTCAATGGGAATGACTACAACAATCCACCTCAGTGTGAAATCAAGCCTTTTACAGAGTTTCGTCAACAATACGTCAAGCAACAATGCAAGACTGTTCAAGATAGACAGGAAGCTAGCTTAACACTACAGCACATGTCCCAGCCACTCAAGTCTATAACTCTTCGAATAGGACTTCCCTTGATTTACCGTCTAATTGTAAATCCATCATATGTGAGCAGTTGTCCCTACTTGACAGCTCTGAACTCAGTACTTGGTGATTCTTTCACCATCATTGCGGCATCTTGCTGCTAATAATAAATTTTCCTTTTATCAAAAAAAAAAACTCATGGGAGTAATTTGGACCTTTTTCTTTTACATTATTTTCTAAGGTGTTATTATGTGCTTTACATATTTGCCACCAGCATCTAATGATGGTTCTCATTGTCAACTGAATAGCAGGGCCTCTCTCTCGATCTCGTCTCCTTCTTGCCTGATATATATGAGTGCAGTGTCAATTCTATCGGTGTTATCAGTGAACTCCAATAAACCATCCAAAATGATATGCCATGTGTACTATGAACTAATTTCACTAAATTCATAACTTTCTTTCTGAACCTCAATAAAATTTCATCCAATAACTCAATTTACATAAGTTTACAATTAATCGGCTCTATCGACCAGTCGCCATAAATTTCAAAAAAAAGTCCAATAAATTTGACCCTCTGGAAGAATTTCTACTTTCAATTGTTCATAGTTTTTGCTATAGTCTCGATTAGATCAGATTGTCAAAGAATTAGACTATGTTTGCATATATAGCTCTAGCTCGAAGCTCTACTTCAGATCTGGAGTTTGTATGCTAAAATCAAAACATCATAGTATATATCTTTGTCAGCTCAACTTAAGTTATGATTTCAAGAGTTAGAAATACCTAGCTCTAAAATTTGTTTATAGAAATCTTGTTATCCAAATTAAAAATTTATAGATTTATTAGTGTTGAAACTCTTCCCACTAGAGCCTTTCTCAACTAGTCAACTCATAGGAATTTTAGAGTAATTCCTAACCTTGTGTCATGTAAGGGCAAGGTTATTACGATCGAGATTCTAGGTATGATTTTTTTGCTTGACAACATTGGATCGTAGTGTCAGGATCCTATCAAATTTTACAAAATATATATTTATTGAATAAGATTTGTATTATGTTGTAAACATTGAAGCTTATAATATTGTACCTGGTTGAAAAAGGCCCCTTCTACATTTGAATTTTGTGAGCTTGCTATAAGAAAATTTTGGGTGTTTTAGAGAAGTTCCACACCAGATTAAAGGTGTTGTAAGATCCAAGTGAAATATTCCTTCACCACACTTGGATTTTTAATTTGCTACACTAATTCTTTATATCAATTACAACAAATTAATCACCATAACTGTTGGGGTGTATTATACATTGGGGACCCCATTAGTGAGTTGACACCCAATTACATAACCAAGGGGCTTGTAAAGTAGTGTTTAGGGTCCATTTGTAGTCGTAGAGGCATTTTTGTAAATACAAGCCCCATCAGGGAGAATAATGAAAACCTCCCCTATAAAAGGAGCGGGAAGGTGGAGAGGGACGGTTGCCCCTTTACTCACTTGACTTTCTTTCTCTCACTCTCTACTCCTCTCTCTTGTTTGGCCTTATACACTAACAATAACTTTAGTACAAGTCGATTGTAAATCCACCATTAGTTGACAATAACTAAAAGTCATGGTGTGCGAGAAGATTTTCACTTAATCCTAGTATTAACCCCTTAATGATGCTTTGTCCCTTCCATGCATGTTATTTAGAAACAAGAAAGGGAAAGAAAAACAAAACCAAAAAAATCATGTGGAAAAGAAGATTTTCGCTCGAGCGCAATATAGCAAAATTGTATTGGTTTTATTAATTAAATTGACTTTTATTTGACGTTATTTCAATGTCACTTAACTATAAATAATATTTTTTCACAATTGAACTATTTAAAAGTTTTTCATATCAATTATTGTATAGTATCACAAAATTATACTATATGAGTATTTTTAAAATTCAGGTAGAGATATAAATAGAACCTACTATGTTCCTCCATTTCCGCTGATGCTCGTTGGTGCCGAGAGGGTGCTCAACAACCTGTATTATCACCACGCCAGAGTTTAGGAGGTGGTTAACAACTTGGCTGGACTGAATGTGACGATTCACTGTTACACTATTCATGGGCGTGACAGAATCAGTAGTTTCAAGGAGAGCATACCTCAGAAGATTGATAGACGCATTTATTACCCGTAGGTGAGTACTGTGATGTTTGATGTGAGGATCATAGGAGTTGGAGACTGAGTGATGTTTGATATGAGGATCATAGGAGTTGAACACTATAGTGGAGTATACAATCCTGCTTAATGTAAAAGAAAACATAGGATGCACATGTGGCACAATAGTTAACCAACCAATCATGACCCAAATCGAGTTAAGCTAGGAGTACAATGGCCTATTGTCCACACAGCCAGACATCACATCACAAACAAAGTGCCGACGACCACTCTAGCAAGCCGCTAGCGACGGGAGTGTCGAGCTCTAGAACGACGGGGCTAGCGAGCTCGCCACACAGAGATGCACCAAGTTCCAGGGAGACGAGCTGCTGTCAAATCTTCGTTGTGGACAAGGCGGACAATGCATCGGAAGCTAACTGCTGGGTACATAGGTCACATCATCCGTTAACCGCTATGCATTTGTCAATCCCAATATCAATGATATGTCAATTTCCCTTTTACCCAGCAAGGTATAATTCGAAATCGTACGATTTGTATCTCAGTTCACCCCCTTAGTGGTATGTTTTGATTTCTCCTTTTTCTTTTTTAAACTTGAATACAAAAATGAAGTCAGTAATGTCTTAGTTCTGATTTTTTTTGCTCTTTCTAATTATAGAAGGTGAGATGCATCTTATTCAAACATCATTGACATCATCGATTCAAACTTTGTGTTGGTTTGACTGACACAACTTCGAAATTTACAGTTTGATGGTAGATTTGAGATCATTGTTGCACGAATTCAATCTCATGTTTTTATTTTGTTGGTTGTTGCGCTGTAGCTTGTATACCTTGTTGTAGACACCAATTATCAACAATTGATTAGTTTGAGCATCGTGTCACTTAACTCCCTGAACTCTAGTTTAGGCTCACTAAGCCTGTTGCATTTATATCAAGAATTTATCTTGTCTATCAAAGAGCAATTCAAGATCAGTACGGGAACCAAAGTTCAGGGGCAGCAGAAAAACAGATCATATAGTATCATTTTCACCATTTGCTTGCAGACGCAGGTGTTTATGAAAGAAAGACTAGGGGAAAATCATAGTTGTGAAGAAGAAATGGAGAGCCTATGCATTATTTGAAAGAAGAATTACACGGCAACTCATTTTGCCTGAATGCATTTCCCATCAATATAAACTGCACCAATCAGTGCAATCTTTGGCCCATCAAGTTCATCATCAAGACACCGCTCTGTCAGCTGAGGACCGCAGTTACAGATTGAAAGTCTTTTCAGAGATGTTGGCAGGCCGTTCACTGGCAATCCCTCAATAGCTGGACAGTTCTGAACACACAGCTCTTCCAATGCAGGAAGCGTGCATAAGTTCTCCGGAAGCCCACTCATTTCCCTACAGTTCCTAATGCTAAGGACCTGTAGCTTCTCAAGCCAAGAAAAGTCAGATAAATCGTCACAGAATGCATCACATCCATCAATCTCTAGGATCTCAAGAGAAGAGAGCTGGTCGAACATGTACAATCTTAGAAGCACTGTGTTCTCCAGGTGAAGATTGTACACATTGAGAAGGGAGCTCAACCAGTCCATATGCTCTATCTTGCTGACCTGATCGTTGCTTACGTGGGAGCACCCAGTTATTTTCAGGTTCCAAACCGAGAAGAGGAATGGATCCTCATCTGCCCATCCACCTTGTGCAACGAAGCACTCACTGATCTCCACCGTTCGCACCGAGGTGTGGAACTTGACGACAACCATCTTGGGGCAGTCATACAGAGAGATGTCCCTCAGTTCAGTAAGATCTTTGAACCCATCAGGGATGTCGCAGATGACGCTATTACAGTTCTTGATTGACAGCAACTGAAGGGACTTTAGGAGGTGCTGCTGCTGAAGCAGGCTAGTGCCTAGAGACCTCAGCCTGTGACACTCATGAACACGTAATGTGGTAAGCCTTGATGTCCACCTGCCTTCTTTTGATGTTGCTTCCAAGGCTTCTTCTGTTGATGGTTGCTTATCATGAATTCTTGGCAGCGTCTCGAAACCAACATTCTCGACGATCATGACTGTCAGTGAAAGGGGAAGATCAGGAAAGATGGTCAGCTTTGGGCAGTTCCTTATCTCGAGCTCACAAAGATATGGAAATGCCATCCTTCTTGATTTTGAGTTGCCTGTTGACCACTCTATGCAATGTGGTGCGGTTTCAATAACAAGCCTCTTGAGCTTCGGAAACAATTCTTGATCTGATCGTTGGGGAACAGTGCTCACTTTGGTGACAGAATGCATCCTGCTGATCTGAAGAACCTCAAGGCTGGGCAGGAGATGCAAGGGAGGCAGGGTCTTACAGTTTGTGCAGTCAGTTAAGTACATCGATGTCACATTCAACAGAGAACCAGATGTCTTCATCATCCATGATGGGAATTTGATGCCTCCATACCCCATAATTCTCAGTAACCATAGATTGTCGTGTGGTTGCAAGCACTCAAGTACTTCTTCGTCCTTGGACATCTCTTTGCTTTGGCCATCACAGCTACTCCATGACAGCTGTAGTTCATTCAGGTCCTGCATTCCCTTCAGGATGCCCTTGCTGAGCACACTGATGTCAATCTGACGGAGATCCCCAACATGAAGTTTTCCTCGCAGTTGAGTCATCCGTCGCAAGGCGTCGATGTGCATGCTACCACCAACATGGAATACATCCAGTTGTTGCAAATTTGAGAGACCATGTATGTCACTTATGCTTGAAAGGAACGACTCACTTGCATACAGATGCCTCAGGTTAATCAAACTTGTGATGCCATCGGGAGGATGCAAAGAAGGAGAATTGCTGCGGACATCCAGGACTTGTAGGTTGTAAAGCTGGCATAGTGTCTCTTGAAGGTCAATTATTTTGTTTCCTGACAAATTGAGATAGCGGAGGTGCCTGAGCTGGCTGATCTCTGGAGGCAAACAAGTTATGTTTTCGCATGAGAGGACAAGGACTCTCACACTCTTTGCCATGGAGAAGATATGAGCTAGAACATCCAGAAACTCATCTGACTCGCTGACATCTCCTGTGAATAGTAGAATTGTCCGAACTTGGTACAGGAAATGGTGATCAGGGGATGACCAAGTCTGCAAAGCCAAATCACTCTTCAGCTTAGACAGGTTACTTGTCCTGATCGTCAGGTGACGAACCTCCTGTGGGATATCTCCTGAGCTTTCATCTGTGATCATGAAGAACCGGCTCATTGCCACTGCTCGTGCTAGGTGTAGCATCGACTTGTGCATTACAAATCTTTTACTTGGAAGAGGTTGAATGAAGCATCTTTGAACCAACTCATCAAAGAACTCACCACCGGTGTCCTCCAGACTCGTTGTGGCACGATCAGAGTATATCAGTCCCTGTGATACCCACATGCTAACCAGTTCTTCCTTTCTGAAGACATGGTCGCCAGGGAGCACTGCACAATATGCGAAACACTGCTTGAGGCGGGGGTCAAGGTGACGGTAGCTCAGCCACAATGCCGGTGAAATCCCACAGAAATCTTGGCTCTCCCACAGCTTGTCTTCCAGCACGTTTCTCCAGTGGTCTTCATCATCCTGCCGGAAGCACAGCGCCCGCCCAAGTGCCCGCGCCGACAGCGGCAGGCTGACCATCCTCTTTGCTAACTCTGATGCAATTTTCTCCATCGGTGACAGCTCCTCTTCATCCTCTACGACATCGTCCCAGTCGTCTCCCAACAGAGTGCATTCTTCGGTGTCATCTGCCCTGCCAAATGCGAAATGCTTGAACATTTTCAGGTAATCATCGGATCCCAGAGGGCCCAGGGCTAACATCGGCATTGTGCCTACTGCTGTTGCAACAGTTTCTGATTCAGTTGTCACCATGATCAAGCTCCTCCTAGCCGCCGGTTGCAGCACCTCCAGTAGATCTCCCCACTGCTTGTCGACGACGTCGGTGACGCCATCAAGCACGAGCAGGAACCTCTTCCCTGCCAATTCCTTGTGCAGAAGTTCCCTGGCGTCCTCGGCTTCACGGTCCTGGCCGCCGGCAGCTGCGTGGATCATCTGATCCATGAGCTGCTTCCTTAGCCGGAACGGGCCAGAGACGTGCACCCACATCCGCACCGGGAACTCGGCCTTGCTGACCTCGTGGTCGAAGACGAAGTGCACGAGCGCCGTCTTGCCGACCCCGGAGTCCCCGGTGACGGGGAGGACGCCGACGCCGAGGCGGTAGTGCGGGTCGTCGCTGAACCTCACGTTCTGCAGGATCTGCTCCACCTCGGCTTCTCTCCCGAAGATGTCGTCTTGTTCGGTCTCCCCCGCGGCGGCGTCCTCTGTTCGCCAAACAGAGGAGATCGTGGCGTAGTTCTTCTCCGGCGCGACGTTCTCGTACGCCGAGGCGCACCTGTAAGCAGCTTGCGCCATCACCCCAAGCGCGTCTCGGAACGGGTCCAGATCAATGCTGCTCGTCTTCGCCCTGGTGCTTTTCCGATGCCCGCTGCCACTGCTGCTGGCACGGCCTGCGGTTCTTGGCGGGCTGAAGCAGAGCAAGAACCTGAGCGGGCTGCGCGGCTTCTGCGCGACGGCGGTGCCCGCCGGGCGCGCCTCGGCGCCCACGCCGTCGTCTCCCGCCACGTCCACGGCGGCGGCGCACTCGATGTCATCCAGGGCGTCGTCCGCGGCGTAGGCGGCGTCGAACAGGTCCTGCAGGGGTCGCCCGCCCAGGTCAACGGCGCCCGCGTCAGCTGCGTCGAGCACGCGCCACACGGACGGGAGCAGGCCCTCGAGGCGGCGCAGGTGGCCCGCGGCGGCGTCATCGAGCTCGGCCAGCAGCTCGAGGCCCTTGCGGATGAGGCGGGCGAGCACGGCGGCGACGATGCCAGACGCGGACCAGCCAACCGTCGGAGGCAACGGTGTCATCGTAACGGAGGGTTGTGGCGGCGCCATTGGTGGGTTTGCGTGATGTGTTCTTGGCGGGAGCGCTGGGGTGGTGTCTGGTGAATGATCCGTAGAAGAAATGGTTTGGTGGAAGGAAAGATCGTAGCTGTTGTCCAACCAAAATTGAAATGAAAAATAAATAAAAGGTGGCCGGTGGCCGGACGACGTGCGTGCACGTACGCTCGGCGAAGGGTCGCCGGAGTTGTTAGTGGGGAGGTGCACATAGACAACGAGACAAAGTAAATGGGTGCTGCACCGTGCATGGACTGCGGGCAACTCCATTTATTGGTACGGTGTTCCAAAAGAACATTTCAATGGTATGTCTATGTTGTTTTTTATTTTCTCCAGCTGGGTATCCGCCATCCGCACTGGCCATATTTTCCTAACCGAGTCCTGCTTGCTATTTGTTGTCTGGCCAATCAAGAGGTGGGCAAAGGCAAGAAGCCTATCGGATCTCTGTAAAAAATCTGATGACGTGGCAGTTTTAAATACGGACAAAAGAATTTAACTAGACTATTGAAAAACTCTATCTTTTAGATGGATTTTTTATTTTATATAATAGCTAAATCTTATAATATAGCATCTAATTTTACCAAATCTATTGAAGTTGCTCTAGGCTGCTCGTTGGACCGCCTGGGTAGAGGGGTTCACGGTGGAACGAGATCATCTAACGTCGAGCAGCCTGACTGCGTCCTGCAGTCGAGCCATCTACACTGTCCGCTCCATCTAAGGCTATCTGACGTTCCCCATCTCACAGGCTATCTAGCAGGCCATACAACAAAGGCCCGACGGCCCAAATAGGCCCATAACACCGTGTGGAGTATGCGCTTGGTCGACTCCTGTCCACTGCCGTCGCCGCTCGTTTCTTCCCCTCCGCCGCCGTCTCTTCCGCGATTACAAGCGTCGCCTCCATCTCTTCTTCCTCCCTCGGCTCCCTGGTCTCCTCGTTCTGGATGCTGCGCCGCCCAGCTAGCCTCCTCGGGGGCGTTCTCCGCCTTGCCGCTGGCCACGCAGAGGCTGGTTTCCCGTGCGCCAGATGTGTGGTGCTCGAGCTCTGTTGCAGTATGCAGCCACCATGGTGGAGGTCCAGGCTGCCCTCGGCAAGTTCCAGGCTGCGTCATTTTCAGGAGGTCGTGCTTAGCCTGGGTGCATCGAGGCCATCAAGCTTGGACTGGGAGCATGGACGCTGCTGCACAAGCATTGTGTTCTACAAACTGTGCTTGCACTGTATTCTGTGAATTGTGTTATTGCAGTAACTGAATAGGAAGCACAAGTTTTAGCAATTTGTGCAGGTAGACAGCAAACTGCTAGCAAATTGTATAGATCGTCTTCTGGAAATCTGGAATGTTATGACTGAATAAAGAGCAAATTGTTAGACCTTAAGCAGGATCTCTAGGCATAGAACTAGCATGTCTATTTGCTATTGAATAAAATCATGAGTCCTAAAACATCTCCTATTGCAGTAGCAGTAGATAGAACGAGAGAAAGAGATGGGTGAAGGGTGCAAACCTTCGTCCGCCTTGGATGAAGATGGGCTCGCCATCACAGTGCTTGGCGATGACCTAGTGGCGGTGTCGAGTCGAAGGGCGGCGGTGCAGTAGCGGTTGTAGGGCAGCCCGGCGACGTAGCAGCCCCTCGGTGTAGATGCAGAGGCGGTGGCGGCGCGGCTGGTGGCTTTCCGTCACTGCCTACGCCCCTCTAGATCGGATTAGGGCTTTCGGTGGGGGAACTGTAGCTCAGGCGAACCTCGTACTCATAGCCGCCGATCCCCACCTCTATTTTTTGCGCAGCGTGACAGAGGCTTTCCAGCCATAGTGGGTTGGGTGCCCCCGATCAGGGCCCAGATCAAAGGCCTAATTGGGCCGTTGGGCCCAGTTGGGATTTATATAGATCAATCTAACAATCTCCCCTTGATCTCCTACCATCTTTCAATTTCATATCATTTACTTTTGTTCATTCCATTACAGATTAGCGCATAGAGCATGTTTCATCGTCACGGTCAATTGCCGATAGATTTAACAGCTACAACATGCCACTCTGTTTTGAAATAGATACTTAACTTTGTGCCTTCTTTTGTCTAGGAATTATAGGCTTTCCCTTAAATCCATGCTGGCTACATGTTCTCTGAACACGTTGGGTGGTAAACCTTTTGTAAGCGGATCCGCGAGCATCTTTTCGGTACTTATATGCTCAAGACTTATGATATAATCCCGGACTTTATCTTTCACAACATAATACTTTATGTCAATGTGTTTGGCAACACCACTTGACTTATTGTTGTGAGCATACTGTACTGCCGGATTATTATCGCAGTATAACTTAAGTGGTCTATAGATGTCGTTAACCACCTTCAAACCGGGTATGAACTTCCTTAGCCAGTTCACCTGCCCCGTTGCCTCATAACACGCTAAAAACTCAGCATACATTGTGGATGATGTAGTGACGGTTTGCTTTGTGTCTTTCCATGAAATAGCTCCCCCTGCGAGAGTGAATACATATTCAGACGTGGATTTTCTATCATCTCCCGCATAATCAGAATCTAAATATCCCACTATATGGAGTGAATCTAATCTTCTATACGTCATCATGAGGCTTTTCGTTTCTTGCAAATAACGCAAGACTTTCTTTATTAATTTCTAGTGTTCTGTTCCAGGATTGCTCTGGAATCTACCAAGTAACCCGGTTACAAATGCCAAGTCAGGGCGCGTACATACTTGAGCAGATTGCAAGCTTCCGACAGCTGAAGCATATGGAACCGTTTTTATTTGATCGATCTCATACTGATTCCTGGGGCATTAAAAATTCCTATATCTGTCGCGCTTGACTATAGGAGCAGTGAGGGACTACATTTGTGCATACTAAATTTTTTTAAGATCTTTTCTACGTATGCATTTTGTGACAGTCCTAATACCCCTTTACTTCTATCTCGGTGAATCTCGATCCCTAGAACGAATGAAGCTTCACTAAGATTTTTCATATCAAATTTTGAGGATAAAAACTTCTTTGTCTCCAGTAGTAGACTGACATCACAACTACCAAGTAAGATATCATCCACATACAGGACAAGAAAGATAAACTTCTTATTCTTAAACTTTACATAGACACAATTGTCCTCTACATTCTCTTTGAACCCAAAATTCCTTATTGTTTGATCAAACTTTAAGTACCACTGTCTTGAAGCTTATTTTAATCCATAAATAGATTTCTTTAGGCGACATCCCATTTGTTCTTTTCCTTTTATGACAAAACCTTTTGGTTGTGTCATATAAATATTTTCCTCTAAGTCCTCATTGAGAAATGTCGTCTTTACATCCATATGATGTAATTCTAAATCGTAATGTGCCACTAATGCCATTATAATTCTGAAGGAATCCTTACATGAGACTGGAGAAAAGGTCTCATTGTAATCAATTCCTTCTCTTTGCGTAAAGCCTTTTGCCACAAGTCGCGCTTTATATCTCTCTATATTCCCTTGAGAGTCAAGTTTTGTTTTGTAGACCCATTTACAGCCTACTGTTTTGGCTCCTTTAGAAATTATTTCCAAGTCCCAAACTTTATTGGCATTCATAGATTTCATTTCATCTTTCATGACCTCAAGCCACTTTGATGAATGATCACTTCTCATGCCTTCTTCAAATGAGGTGGGATCATCCTCCATTTGAAATTCCTCAGTGTTGTATACTTTATAGTCAGCAGGAATAGCTGATTTTCTAACTCTTTGAGACCTTCTAGGGGCCTCCACATTTGGCACATCTTCTGTTTGAGGCTGTTGTTGCTTCCCCTCATGTGTGGCAATAGGTTCTACAGGATCCTGAAGAACAGGTGCTGACACCACAATATCTTGCACTGTCGGTGCAGCGACAGCAGGTAGTTAGAAAAATGGCTCATGAATCATCGGAGTGGGCGCATACACCCGCTTCTCTTCAAGGTCAATTTCTCAAGCTACCATGCTCCCCCTCATCATTTCATCCTCTAGGAAGACAGCGTGTCTCGTTTCCACAAACTTTGTATGTCTGTCTGGACAGTAGAAACGAAAACCTTTTGACTTTTCTGGATAGCCAATGAAATGGCAACTTACTATTTTAGGATCTAGCTTCCCAATGTTTGGGTTAAATACTTTAGCCTCAGTAGGACTCCCCCACACACGTAAGTGGTTTAGTGAGGATACTCTTCCTGTCCATAACTCATACAATGTTTTGGGCACCGACTTACTTGGTACTCTATTGAGAATATGAATGACGGGTTTTAATGCCTCCATTCATAGGCTCAACGGTAAGGTGGAGTAACTTATCATACTGCGCACCATATCCATCAAGGTACGATTGCGTCTTTCAGCTACTCCATTCTGCTGAGGTTCGCCCGGTGTAGAGTACTGGGCTACTATGCCATTCTCTTGTAAGAACCTTGCAAAAGGTCCAGGAACTTGGCCATATGGGGTATGCCGACCGTAGTACTTCCCCCATGGTCAGACCTTACTATCTTAATCTTTAAATTGTGTTGGTTTTCAACTTCTGCCTTAAATATCTTAAATTTATCCAATGCTTCTATTCTTTTTTTGATTGGATAAATGTAGCCATAACGGGAGTAATCATCTGTGAATGTTATGAATGAATCATAACCATCCACACTCTTTATAGGAAATGGACCACAGATGTCTATGTGAATAATTTGTAAAATTCCTGTGCTTCGTTTGACATCTTTCTTAATTTTCTTTACATACTTTCCTTTTATGCATTCTCTGCATTGTTCTAAATCTGAGAACTCTAATGGAGGAAGAATATCATTCTTAACTAGTCTTTCTATTCTCTCCCTCAAAATATGGCCTAAACGACAGTGCCATAATTTCAACAACGCATCGTGAGCTCTCTTTTGTTTTCTGTTTACATCCGCAGACGAGGATACATTCTCATTGTCGCACGCAATGTTCCCATCATCGCATACAACATTCACATCATTACGTAGTGATAACAAATAAAGCTCATTTTGTAAGATAGCAAGACCAACACATG